CGCTGTTGTTTTTAAACCGAAATAAGTTTGTAAGCCTATTTGGGTAAGAAAAGAATTTTTACTAAATCGTATGGAGAGTAACATTGATTATGGTAGGTCACGTGTTCAACATTTCAATAAGGACGGAATAACTAATTTTTCTTGAAAAAAAACAACAACACCAAATTATTTTGTTTATAATAGAAAATAATTATCGTGAAAAATATGGTGTAAATTATGCGTGACAAAATACATTTCTAGGCAGCCACTAGTAAAGTAGGTTCCTTGAGGGCATACTAAAAGTTTATTTTCTATCACTAATGCTAAAATTCAGACGATTATCAAGTGTTAAGTGAAATAATGCAACAAAGAAAACAAAATACTTTCGTGTGACCAAATCAGCTACTACTGACCTTAATGTATCTTTAACTGATTTATATATACAAATAAAAATAAAATGAAGGTCAGTTAGGCTGTGTAATAAATGGTGTATGGCACACGTGGTAAAAGTTATTTATTTTGCTTGTAGGATTACGCAAGGAAGCCTGTCGGCCTCGTTCATTTTAGTCAAAACTACATGAATGTTGGTTTAGCCGTTTCCGCCGGAGAGATTAACTTTAAATCATCTTGAATGAGTTTTTATATCGTGTAAATAACTATTTGAGATCAACGGGTAATTTTTTTGAAATCACAGATAGACCACCTTATAATTTTCTTTATGGACAAGTCTATATAGTTGGTTTACTCTTATATACCAACAGGCAATAGGTATTGTGAAAGTTAAGTAATGCTGCAACGAAAAGTGCTGTTTGATTTTAAGAAATATTTGTTTTGTGGGCCCCTGATACCAAAAAATGTGGAATTTTTCTTGCTGTAAGTTCTAGAAGTTTCTTCGTAATTAATAACTTCGTCTAACCCTTGTGTAGTCGGAACCCATATTTTATTGCGCCTTGATACAAATACAAGGGTTTTAGGAAAATTTCTATCCCTGCGTACAATGATAGCGTTTAAACAGAACTCAACATTTCCATCATTATTCCTTGATCGATATCTTGCGACATCTTGAATTCGGAAAATGTATTTTAATATTTTAAGTTATTTCACATGAAGGTCTAATAACATTTTCGAACTTTGCTAAAAAATTGCTCAAAACATTTTTCTTTAAAATACTCCATGAATGTTAATTACACATTCTCTCCAGTATGATCATAAGTCATGACACATATGCCCCGTGTGCGTGAATGTGTAAGTATGGCCTCCGAACTAGTGAACATCTTATGTCATTTGTCACGTAAGTGTAGTGCACGTTATATCTAGAGAGTGTTCCTTCCGTGCTGAGACATGAAATACGGCGCCGACCTACATGAAGACTAGTGGCGATTTACCCTCCCGCACTTATCTACCGCACGGATCACCGCCACTGCCCCGACAAGCTTCAAGCTCTCGACCAGTCTCCCGACGAAAGGATAGTGCAGGTAAGCATACTTCTCTACGCCAACAATACTCCCAGCGGTCCTCGTAATTGCAGTTTGAATGAACATAGCCGTCCCAGAGCGCCCTACGTTTCGCTTAATGCAAGGGCATAACATTCCTCCCCGAATACTGGCTGTGTGGTTGCCCATTGTGTAGAGAGTTGATTGAACGCCATCTACCGTGCGCAATGGGGCGAGTGTCGCTGGCTGCACTTGATTGGTTTCGTCACAGGCACTGCCTTTTGCGTCTCGTGTGTATTGACCTATTACACTGAAGAGCCAAAAAATATGACACACCTGCCTAATATCGTGAATCATGCAGATCATGCAGAAGGGCCGCAACGCGACGTGGTATGGACTCGATTATGTCTGAAGTAGTTTTGGAGAAATTGACACCATGAATCCTGCAGGGATGTTAATAAACTCGTAAGAGTACGAGGGGTTGGATATCTCTTCTGAACAGCTCGTTGCAGGGCTTCCCAGATTTGCTGAATAATGTTAATGTCCTGGGATTTTGGTGGCCAGTTCAAGTGTTGCCTTCTGTAGCAATTCTGTGACGTGTGGGTTGTCGTATTGTTTTGCTGGAATTGCTCAAGTCCGTCGGGATGCACAAACCCACTCATTTATAAATGGGAGCAAGTGATCAGACAGGATATTTACGTAAGTGTCACGTCTAGACACTCTGACAGTCATCAGGGGTCCCATATCACTCCAACTGAACAATCCTCATACCATCACATGGTTTCCATCAGCTTGAACATTTCCGTCTTGACATGCAGGGTCCATGGATTCATGAGGTTGTCTCCATTCTAGTACACATACATACGCTTAAAACAATGTGAAACGAGACTCTTCATGTCAGGAAAAGTGTTTCCAGTCATCAGCAGTTCATTGTCGATGTTGAAGGGTTCAGGTGAGGCGTAAAGCTTTGTGGAGTGCAGTAATGAAGTATAAATGAGTAGGCCTTCGGCTCCGAAACTCCGTATCGATAATGTCTCGTTGAATGGTTCGCACGCTGACACTTGTTTTTGGTCCTGCATTGAAATCTGCATCAATTTGCCCAAGGGTTTCACTTCTGTCATGCTTCTCTTCAGTCGTCGTAGGTCCCGTTCTTGCACGATCTTTTTGCGGCCGCAGAGATACCGGATGTTTGAAATTTTACCGGATTCCCGATATTCAAGTTACACTCGTGAAATGGTCGTACGCGAACATCCAAATTTCAACCCGACCTCGGAGATGTTATACCCATCTTTCTTGCGCTGTATGTAACACCACGTTTGAATAACTCGCTGAATAACCTGCATTCTAGTTATACCAAAATTGCACACTCGCTTTCGAGTTTCGGTACGATTTATGTTTGTATTGTACGTTTCAACTAATTATCTCGCTGACCACTTGCTGCAACACCTCTCGAGCCGCTCAATTCCCTCAAGACACCAGACAGATGCCGATTTGTCCGCGGTCAAGCATAGAAACCGACGCCACTCCGCTCCCCACCAACCGCCGGCCCGCTTGCAATCGCCGAACAGTGTAACGACTTCATTCACACGCATTGTGCGTCTCTCCATAAAATTCTTTACAGAACAGTTATCATGTGTCAAGAGTTAATTTTCTATACAACAATGTACTGTAATACGCGTCCCGCTAAGTTCGTGTTAATTCATTACCACATCCATAACCATCCAGCTCATGTAGCCATGATAAATTCTTTGTACCACAATGTATTGCAACGCACATCAAGCTGAACGCTCAATGTAAGTGCGTGATCCCAGCATAAACTGTTCTCTTAACATGTACTGCACGTGGTCATATCATAAGAAGCTACAATCACTGTTGTGGAACGGAGTCCGCTTCCACGGCATTCAAGTAATTGCCTGCACTTGCCAGTATAATTCACGGCATTTCTAGGCTTCTAGCCACCACCAGCGCATGCCATCCGTCGCCCCATCTTCCCTGCAGGCGTGCACGACACGTGCCTGCATGCGTGTGCAATCTTCACGGCTACGTTGCATCATGTTTGCGTTTGTGCTCAACGTATCATGTTTGTCATTTGAGCACCAGTGTGTTATGGAATAGAATAGAATATTTATTTTGCTTCTTAGGAATACATGAACTATTCCTGGTAGTAGTGTTTTCTAAGTAGTTACTACAAATACATAACACAAACAAAGGAACTTTACAATATTTGTATATTACTTAATACAATTTTGCAAAATTAGTGAATTAAACTTTTCATGCAAAAGATGACCTAATATAAAATAATAATTCAACAAAGGTAAACATAGTCTAAAAATATTTACAATTTATTTAATCTATTTTTAACATTTTTGACATTGACATATTATGCTCTGTTGCATATCCGAACTCACGTTAATTGCTACCTTTTAATGTTAACTGTATCTAACACAGTCTTCAACTGTAAATGCTCACGCCATTCCAATCTTTCAATGTTAATTATAACTTCAACTGCACATAACTACAGCAATTGTAATTATTTAAATGCTTTCAACTTAAATACAATTATAATTGGAATCAAGTGTATTCTACTCAGTGTTAATTATATATTGTTTTAATCAATGCGTACATGCTTACTGACATATCCCAAAGTGATAGGGGCGTTCTCTGTAGATTTTAACATTTACAGGAAATGCGTCCGCGTCGTATAATACGCGGTGGTCCTCCGAGTGGAAAGCTATCAAAGGTAAGTGGAAGGATCGGGCTGCTACTCATCCAATTCATATCAAAAGTTTACAGCCTCCCTAGTGAACTTCCAACAACGTTCAAACTCGCATAAATCGTGATAACGTGCCATTCTAACAGCAGTAAGTGATCAAACTAATTGTGGCAGTCTCTGGTTATCTTGTATTGTCGTTGCCGACAGCAGCGCCGTATTCTGATAGGTTCCAGATCTTCTAATTTCAATACGCATGGCTGTACAATTTTTTTGCCTCTTCAGTGTATTTTGCATGGCTTCCCAGCCAAGCGTTGTTTTACTACGGACAGTAGGTCATCGCTCCATTGAATCAGAGCAGCGTCACAGCTTTTTCCCACACTATCATGCGATTTCGATTCTTCGCATGGTGATACATGTTGATAGATTTAAAATAATCTCGCATTTTTCGCACAGATATCGGGCGCACGTTTCTACATAAAAAAGAAGCTAACAGTAGAATCTGGATTTTTTTATTTACACCAACGGGACTCATGTCCATTGGAGTTAACCTGCCCAGAAACATCAATAAATCGAATGACCCTAATAATCATAATCGTTCGCTAATATTAATTTTAGACATTATTTTACTTTCGGGAAAAGTGCAATGCATAATTGCTTACTGACCCCAGCCCTAACACACATCTACAGGTGTTTTTTTTATAAAAGATACAAATATCAAGGGCATACAGGGGTCAACGAAAATCAATCATCTCACTAATGCAAGCTATGGTAGGAAATTACAAATAATGAAGACTCCTGAGTGACATTGCTAATTATTAATCAACTCGTGTTGCTTTGGTGTTTGGCAGGTATACGAAATCGCTTTGCAAGGGCCGCTACGTGAGCCTGCCAAAAATCAGAGCAAGAAGAGTTGCCTACCAAGCAGGGGCAAATGCCACATGGTACGGTAATGCCTTTCCTCATTTGCAAAACGTAATTATTTTCGCCTCGCCCACTTAGTCTAGAAGTTTGTAACATTTAGCCCGAGGCAATTCGACTCACCTCTTGCGCGGCGGGGGCGTGGCCCCGCCCCCTCCGCCGACGATGGGCTCGTTCTCGAGGGAGAGCGAGCGGCGGTGCGCCAGGCCCAGCTCCAGGTTGGCGATGTTGGCCTCCACGTCCACCAGCAGCTGCTGCTCCTCGTCCAGCCCGTCCAGCGGCTCGCCCACGCCACCGTCCGCCGGCGCGCCCTCGGGCCACACGTACACCACCTCGAACGACACCGTCGTCTGCGCACGCACACACACACACACACACATGCAACATTAGGAATAATGAGAGCGTAGGCTTCTGAGACCGGAGTCAGTATTTAATTGGCTGTCCGGGTGAGGCCGCGTCCATGCCAGAGGTGCCGACGTTTCGGTCGCGATTCTGCGCCCTTCCTCAGGACGTAATGCTTGTTCCTCCAGGGCGCAATGTTGGCATTACGCCCTGAGGAAGGTCGCAGAATGGCGACCGAAACATCGGCACCTTTGCCGTGGTCGCGGCGTCACCCGGACATCCAATTAAATATTTATAATAATGTTATACCTCCAGTCACGTCTTTCAAATATTTAGGAATACAGCTAGACAGTAAATTGAGCTGAGAAAATGAAGTCCATTTCGTTGTAGGGACAGCCTGGTAACCTTTACATTTTGTTAAGCGGATTCTGAAAAGGGCTACAATGAAAGCGAAAGAACTAGCATATATGTCATTAGTGCGACCCATATTAGAATATCGCGAGATATGTTGAGATCGATACAGAATTTTGCAGCGAAGGAATCTAGAAAATGTCCAACGTAGAGCATCAAAATTTACTTTCAGGGGTAGCAAGAATAAAGGGGTATGGGAGTCACTCGAAAAGAGGAGGTTAAAGTCATGTCGCTATGCTATGTGTAAAGCGTACACTGTCCTCCGAGTGTGGAAAGAAATTCAAAGTCGATTAGGGAAACCTACATATTTCGGCAGAGCGGATCACATGTACAAAATTCAGACAGGGATTCTGAAATCGGACTTGAGAAATATTTATTCGTGAGTCGAACTATTAGTGACTGGTACGGTTTGACTGTGACAATGTTCAATCTCTTTCCGGAAAGCCTGAGCAAATTTAATGATTATTAGTTTCCTCAATGATATGTGTATTATAAATATCTTTAATAATATTTAGTGTAAGTAACAGTATACAATGTAATTAGGTATTATTATTATCGTTATTATTAATTATGTGTAGTGACGTGCAGTGTAGTGCCGTGAAGTTGAGGGAAACGAGTGTGTATAAAAGACACAGGTCAGTGATCCGCAGTGCGGTGAAATGAAGTGTGGTGAAGTGTAGTTCTATAAAATATTGCACGGTGAAATGAGCACGTTAATTTGTAAAGTTTTCAAATTTTGTAAAGTTTTTAAGTTCTGCAATGTTAAGTTATTGTACTCTGCCAGACAGAGGGCAGTCGATTTCTTTAGGTGTCGCTCAGACCTGGACATTGTGCTGCATAGTGACATGCTCAATAGCTGCTCACATACAACGCCTGTGACACGGTTCGCAGTCCCCCAGGGAGGGTGCCCTGCAGGTTTCAGGTGATTGTACAAACCAGCGTTGCCAACCACGCTACATTCAGACGTGCAAGAGAACCTCTCGGACCCAAAGAACTGAATACAATATTTTCGTAAAATGTATTAATTTAATATTAATTATTCTTATTAATTATTAACACTTGTGATTACATCTCAGGAAATAATGAGCCATAAAATTATCCAACAGAAAAGTAGAACTACATACGCACTACGTACAATCGACCCTGGACCATCAACAAGCCTATCGGGATGGCCGAGATCGCGGCCTCGAGTCTCGCCTACTTGGCATGGTGGTATTATGTTCGTCCTTTCACCCCGTATCGTCATCATATCGTGTCATCCTTACAGTTACCATACCGTTACAAGCAATAGTGGTTGCTAATGACCTAGATGTTGATGCAACCTCAAATAACAAAAAAAGTATTTGGTGATATTTCTGTTTATGAACATTGCTAGGAAACTATGAAGTTCAACCGTGCAATTTTGGAAGCGCTTAAAAATATAATTCATTACCACCGAAATGCCACTTCCACAACTAGTTCAGAACGTGTTGTTCAACTCTTGTTCAGAAGTTTTCGCACTTTTTGAATGAAGCGCGCTACGCGCACGGTGTTGTCGACTTGCGTGTTTCCGTCCCGATCATCTAAAACACGCGCGAACGTCTGTCTTTGGGCTATGGCTTGATAAAATGATATCAAAAAAATGTTTAACACAAAGAAATGGAATATCCTTTTAAAATGACTGATTTTTTTAAACAGATCATCAGACATTAAACTCCCAGTGAGCGAGTGTATAAAATCTGCAAAGGAAAACATTCACTCAACGGGCATGGATGAAAATGTCGATGTATTTAAAATACGTAATTCAAATCCAAGTATTTAAATATTGCCCAAAAATGCTCATTAAAAAGTCTACAACCTTTGGTTCCAAAACTACATATTTTTAAGCAAACATTAACACAAATTTGACAATTATATATGCTATTTATACAGGTAAATCATGTTTCAATAATCAAACGTATTTCACAAAAATGAGTCCCGAGTCATTGTTGCAGATCAATTTGACATATAATAAAATCTAGCAGTATTTCAAAAAGGTTTTAAATAATTTCTAAAATATTAATGTGTAAATGTATAACAAAACGTCGAATGTAAGAAACAATCAAATCAAAATTAAATAATAAACAAATTATGACTTACGAAGCAACCAACTACGACGAATTGTTCACAAAACGGAGTAAAACCGCAGGTGCAATTTAATTTTGTCGCCGATTTACACACAAAATATTTATATATTCAAAAACTTACATGACCTTACTTGATCGATTTTTGATAAACACATTTCATTAAGCTAAAAATTCATTTTCACAATCATACAAAAAGACGCCGAAAACGCAGTCAATTCGCGCGAGCTATTATATTTGCCTCAAAATTTCACAAAAATACTGAAATTTTCAAAAAAGTCAACATGACCTTATTTTAATATCTGCTGTTTATGAACACATGTAATTAAGAAAAATATTGTATCTTCGCAAATGTAGTTGTAGTAAAAAACAGCATTTTTAAGAATATTTTTTAATTTTCTCAAAAAACCCGCATTTTAATGAACGTGAGACCAGCATCATTTAATAAAAAGCGTTCGTTTCTAAGAAAAAAAGTGGTTTATATAAAATACAAATTGCGTGTGTTTGGCACAAAGTTTTGCAAAAAATACTAAGGTTTTTGAAAAATTTGACACAACCTTATTTAAATCGCTCTACCTGGTCTTCATTGTTGCCGAGCGTTGTTGGGTGACGTGGGACAAGGCCGAGAAGGTCAGGACAGCGGCGAGCGTAAGTAGAAGAGAGACAGACAGAAAGAGACACAGACAGGGAGACACAGAGAGACGGAGAAAGGGAGGGACAGAGAGACGGGGACAGCCAGAGAGAGGGACAGAGAGAAGCAGAGAGAGAGACCAAGTCAGACAGACTGGGACAGGGACAGAGTCGGAGACAGAGACGGAGAGAGAGCGACGGAGAAAGGGAGAGACGGAGAGAAGAAGACAAAAAGAGAGACAGACGGACAGAAGAAGACAAAAAGAGAGAGAGACGGAAAGAGAATGGGAGAGGAAAGCAGAAAGAGGGAGATGAAGGGAAGAACAGTGTCTGCCGGGATCCGCAATCGTACCGTAAAGGTAGAAAAGTTGATAAGAATACAAAGCTCATGTTTGCAAGTGAAACAATATCTTTGTGAAAATGGGATTTACATTTTTTTACCGCTAATTAAAAGTATCTGCTAAAACACTGACAAAAGATATAAAATTTAGACTTAGTAATAATTTACAAGCTCAAATTAATAGAAACTTATCCGGAAAACCATGAAGCCCAAAAAATCACGAACATATTATATTAACAGTTAAAAATTATTTTCCAACAAATTGAATTATTATTGTTCAAAAATTAATATATTTGAAATGTAATTGGCCTGTACAAAAGTAAATCTCAAATAAAATAAATAATACATACATTTAGAAGTTTTTTGAAAACATTAAAATTGTATTTTTGTATGTAGCAATCAATACACAAAATGAATTCACATAAAACGACTCTTCAGAAACGTTACGCCTAAAATATTCCGAGCAATTCTCAGGTTTTAGCATTTCTGCAAAGAAGTATTAAATAATTGTGCCTGAATTGTTGTTCTACGACCCAATGGTATGTGGTGGATTTATACATTTAAGAATGCACATCATTTAAGGGTGTACATGAATTTCGTTAAGAGTATATAGAACGGAAAACGTAAGCCTTGAATCTGACACCTGATAAGAAAACAAACTCTGAAACTTAAAATTAGAAAAGTATTGCAATTGCAACTGCACAGAACACATCTTTACCAATAATACTAACTGGACATACATTGAAAGCTATTAACAAACCTGGTTCATCAATAGTCTGTACTGTTCGTGACATGCGTAATTGGAAGACAGGTATAATTATCGTTAACCTCTAATTACAAGCTTGCTAATGATCAGTGAATTGACATGCACAAGTGTTATGTTGTGAAGTCGTGTTACAGTCGATAAAATGAAGCATGGGAAAGCGTTTGGTTGATGGTGTTCGGAACTTGGAATTTTCATTTAAATTACTTTAGGAATATCGAGCTTTAGTTAGCAGTTAAAATTAAATGAAGAATAAATGAATCAATAAATTGAAAAGAGTCAAAAAACCCAAGTAGATAAATAATGTACAAATGGTCCGCATAATTTACGTTACAACATGTTTACAAATCACAATTATTTTTGTGCTATGACCTGACCGAAAGAATATGAAATCAAATTACAATAGAATACTGTCGGATGATAATTTTGCTGAGCCTCTAACCAATAACGTCAACTTTTTACATGACACAAACGTGACATGGCACTGATGTTTACCCCCGCTTCGAAAATCCACCTCCAGTCGTATTTGAGTCAGAAAACGAGGATTTTGAAAGCTAGTGGGATAACTGTCATACCACAAAATTCAATGTGTAGAGTGTAAGTTGTTTGTTTAAAATATGACAAATTATTTTTAAATACATTCAAATACTTATTTAAAGAAGAAAATCATTAAAAAAAGAAATTACAATACAAAAATCAGCCTAATATGAATAATTCACTTTC